GAAGTACATTACGCACACTTCTACTCGTCTCAGGGCGAAAAGAATCCTCGGCTAAACGGCTAAATGTTTTCGCCTTTTGATTGGCTGAAAATAAAAATCGCATCATGTGATGTCGTATCCGATACGCGTTTATCCCCGAAACTGAATCGCTCCAAGCACGTCCGGAAGACGCGTTGATAGAACACCATATGCACATCCAACGTCAATGTGTGCCCAATCTTCCGGCTTCAGGTTTCGTGATTTTTTTTGGAAATGGAGGCCTCTAGCTCGCTGCCTTCTTTACAAGGGTCAACTATCGTAGTCTGCCCTTTCATCGATTCCCAGCCAACGAGGTGCTGTGCCAGATGTCGCAAAGACTTCCCCGAGACTTCTGCATACTTCAAAGCGTTTAAAAAAGGAGGGTTTGCTACTGTTTGTGTTGATTGCACGGCTAAGAATTCCGCGACGAGAAAGGCGAAAGAAAAAAATCCACAAGGGGTCGCCCCTGCAGAAACTCGTGGTCGAAAGAGAAGAGTGCTTGGAGATGCGGATCCAAATGTACGGAAAGCTCCTCGAATTGCGCCGAACGAGCCTGTACGATGGGATATGGCTTCACAACACACAAAGGAACGGATGAGATCTACAGCCGCTAGAGAACGAGACAATCGCTATCGGCGAAACCACGACCTCTCCCCCATACCATCCCATTCTCCTGGAGTAGAACTTCAACTTCCGACGTTCTCGTCCGTTTCATTCCCCTCCCAAACCCCACCACCTCCTACTCCACCTCCCGCTCTTGCCAGAGCTCCTATATCAGACATGGATTGGTCGAACATTAATGCGTTCCACGAGTATCTGTGCAACCAAGAGATGGAAACATGTGCCCGTTGCAAGGAACGTTGGTTTCAGATGGGGTTATCGAATGGTGTTTGCGGTGCTTGCTTAAAACGGGATAGGAACTTACAAGCGGGAGAGCCGTTTCTGTTCAGCAGGGAAAATAATATGGATCCTGGGATTGTTCCTGACTGTCTGCGGGACTTGACGCAGATGGAAGAGATGGTAATTGCAAAGGCACATTGCCACATGATTATGAAGCGTGTACGTGGTCACCAATATCACTATACTGGGCACGCAGTCTGCTTTTGGCAGAGTAGTGTGACCTTTATCGACGTTCTTCCATCCCGTCCTCAGCATGTCGATGTCGTGCTCTTACGCCCTCATGGCGCACGGATGGGCGAGGAGAGGTATAAACGTCAATTCAAGAACGAGTTTCGCGTTCGTCGCGGCTACGTGGAGAAGGCTTTACATTGGTTAAAGCGCCACCACCCGGACTATCGTGATATTACTATTTCCCAAACAAACCTGTCAACCCTTCCTATCGATGGGGACGTGTCTGATCAGGTGCTGAATATCGAGGAATCCGAGGATTCGGAGGACAAAGAACCGGGAAGGCAAGGAGATGGCAGGGCTTGTGGGGAAGAGGATGAACGGGGTATTGACGGGGATGTCCCTGGCCCGTCTCAAGAAACCGTGGTACCTAACCTTGACATTCGCCAGACCGAGGCAGAGCTTTTGGAAGAGGCTTTTAATAAGAGGACGAAACTTGGTATCGCTCAAGCACCAGCGATTAGGCAAACTCCCATTGATGAGTTGGGCAGAAAACACCGCCTGTTTGCTATGTGTTTCCCTACTTTGTTTCCATATGGCACCGCAGATTGGCACCAAGGCAGGATGCGCAATGTCTCTCTGGCTGACTGGGCGGAGCACTTCCTGAAATTTCATGATGGAAGATTTGGTGCTCACCCTCGGTTTCGGTTCTTAGTCTTCAACATGCTCATGAGGAAGAAAGCTCAAGAGGCCTCTGGCTTCTGGGTGAAGAAACGCCCGGATCTCTTGGGCCTGTCACTGGATGAGTTGAAGGAATTACTCGGCGAGGAGGGTACTCTACTGAAGAGCATCGTTCGTTCGGGGGCCACTTTGACTGGGACGCGCCCGTATTGGAGGCAGAAAGAAAACGCTCTCAAGGCGACAGCCCGTTATTTCGGAACTACGGGGACTGTTTTCTGCACGTGGAGTTGTGCTGACCACCAATGGGATGACCTCCACAGGCACTTACCCCGCTATGTGCAATGGAGGGATGGCACGGATGAGGATCGCCGGAAGATCGCGTGGGAGAATGTACAGCGATTCCCTCACATTATAGCCGCCTGGCTCGATATTCGGTTCAAAGCATTCTTGAAATATGTTATGACAAGCTTTCTGGGGTTACACGACTATTGGTTTCGGTATGAGTGGCAAGCTCGTGGAACAGGTCACATCCATTGTATCATTTGGATGAGGGATTCGCCTGCCATGGGTGCCAGGACCCCAGAGGAACGGGAGGCTTTTGCACAGTACTGGAATAAGAAAGTTACGGCCGTTAATCCGAACAGTACGAGGCCGCCCGATGCCAGGAATCCGGCTTCTCTGCCCTTCATTCATATCTGCAATACCGATGAACAGGTGGCAATCTTCATGAATCGCTTCCAGATGCACGCCAAGTGTGTCCCTGGAAGGTGTCTGCGAAAAAGCAAGGCCACCAACTGTGTAGAATGCCGTTTTTTCTTTCCTCGAGAGCTTCAAGAACGTGCTCTGGTCACGAAGAGTATCAACAAAAAGAGTTGGATGCTAGGCGTGGAACGCAATGTGGAACGCCTTGCCCAGTGCTCGCCGGTGATGGCCCTTGGGTGGCTAGCCAACACGGATCTACAACCAGCAGTGACGTATAAGGGGCTCATTCTCTACGTCGCCAAGTATGTGTCGAAGCCTGAAATCAGATCTGCCTCATACCAAGAGTTGCAGGAGCAGGTTCTGCCATATGTTAGTGATCGTCGTCCAATTGCTTCCCTTGCGGCGAGACTGCTCAATAAGCTTATTGGGGAACGTGATTGGTCTGCGCAAGAGATTTCCCATATCTTACTCAAGATTCCTCAGCAGAAGTCGACAAGGCAATGTATGGTTTTGGATTGTCGTCCGGACCAGGCTCAAGATCGCCATATCCAGTTTGACCATGATGAGGCGGGGGAAGATGTGGTGGTGAAAGAAGGGCTTTCAGCATACAAACGCTATAAAATGCGGATTGACCATGCCAGTGGTGGAGAGCACTTGAGAGATGTAAGTCTGATCGATTGGCTGCAGCACTACGATGCCACCAAGTTTCGACGCCTCTCTAAAGGCAAACCGC